AGAAAACATATCAGATTTAGAAGCTTTCTGCAGAGATGGTTAATTTATTTAACCTCTTCCTTTCTCACACAACAGCGATGAATGTTACATTGCAGAAGTTTACACATCTTAAGGCGATCCAGACATCACTTGCATTGGATCACAGTCAGAGAGCAGACTAGCGCCTGCAAGGAGGCGGGGCAGGAAGGAAAACAATGTATAGAGAGATGGTGCTGGAGATTCTTTGCTGCTGTGTAGTTCAGATTAAGGCTTGAATATGTCCAAAATGAGCCCATTTCCCCTGGTATTTCTAAGTGGTGCCACGGCAGTCCCTAGAGGATTTGGTGTTCTTAATGATTTCCTGGTCAAGGGACAACTGAGAGCCTGCTTGAATATCCAGACTCTACCTGCAGTACATGATTGTTGAGAGCTTGAGCAGTGGAAAACTAGTGGTTTCATAAGACAAGGCAGAGATTGCATTTGCAAGAAGCATATCCCAGGCTGAGCTTGGTTTTCCTCTGTATAAAACTCATCCCCCCCCCACTAAAAAAGATACAATTCCAAGCTAATGTTCTGGTGCTAAATGCAGCAAACAGCAAGTCAGAGGGACCGGTCTCAGTGTTTCCTGATCAGATACCATTTCTCATTAACGTTTTTGCAGTAGTATAGCATCCGTCCAGAGAGCTCTCTGTGCACACTTTGTCTGCAAATCTCACCCGTATCCCCTACAGTAGACAATACAGAGGAAGAATGGCTTTGACACAGCAAGAATGCCTGTTCCTATAGCTGTCTCTCCTGGATTTACATCTGTTATCGAAAGGCAACCCATTCTTTCTATTTTTGTCCCACCGTTCCCTTTTTTTTTTTGCCTCTGTTTCTGTAGTTTCTGATTCTACAATATTTTGCCTGCCTGAGAAGTTTCCACCTTGCACAAACACTGGTTGGGAATATAAAATTGCAGAACCTTGCAATCTGGCCCCTAGAGTTTTACTGTTCTCCTTGTGTGTTAAGGCCTTTCTCTTTCAGGTTTTCCCCCTCTGGGCTAGTTTCTTTCAAAGTATTTTTACTCAGTTGAGCACTAAGCCAAGCCCTTTTTGCATCTGGCTGCCTGGAGCAGTGGTGCTGTCTGCAAGACCGTGTGTTTATGCTCGCACATGTGTGTTAAGCTGTACTTGATCCCAAAGTTTGCTGTTCTAATTTTGTTGCCAAAATAAAATTATTTTGCACTCTTCCAACCTTCCATGCAACTTCTTGTTTTGTCTTGCAGTGAGTGTTGACTTGCTGAAAGGATTGTCCACTTGTAAGTGAAAGCACAATTCCTTGGTAAGCTATAAGGAAATAGAGTTTCATACTTTAATTGAGCTCTTTGGTTCTGGCTCAGTTAGGAAAGGGAGAGTGTCTGTGGCTGAGTGGTAGAGCATCCGCTCAGCAAGTGTAGGATCCCAGGTTCAGTCCCTGGCATCTTCATATAAAAGGATCAGGTGATAGCTGATGTGAAACATCTCCAGCTAGCCCCTGACTGTGGGCTTCCTCTTCCAGGCTGTCTTAATGAGCAGTCCAATGTAGAACTGTTAGAGAATGAACTTGATATTTGCTTTATGGACTATTTATTGCTACACACAATGGACTGTGCACACACACGTAGGGTCAGAAAGCTGTACACTTTAAGTCACCTGTTGTGATGCCACACATAGAAGGTGCCTGCACATACCTTACTTGTAAGTAAGGTTTCAGCTACACAGTTGCCAAGCCTGGTGAAGAAGCACACACCTCCATTATTGTGAGCAATGGAACAACAATCTCGAGAAGAGACAGCCCCCATTGCAGAACTGTTTGTAGTCACGTACTACCCATTGCCTGCTTTGTTCCTGCATTGGTATTTCCTGCCATATGGACATTTGATTATCAATAGAATGGCCAGCTTCATCAGCACAACAATGGAGCATTCTGATGCCTAGGTTTTCACATCTGTCCAGATGCCATACTTCGAGTAAGGTTTTAGGTTACAATATTGCCCATCCCCTCAGGTAATCTCCCCTTCCCATAGGCAACCAATAGGATTGTTTTTGGGACGAACTAACAGGTAGGTGGGTCAAGAGGCTGGCACAGTTACCACCCATCTCTTGGACCCCTTATAAAAGGGAAGGACCATTCACCTGGCCCTTCCTAGCTAGCAATCCCTGCATCAGCCCCTATCTGCTTTTACTCCCCTTGAGTCCCACTTACTATCCCCAACCCTTGCCTCTACTTTGATCTCTTGATCTGCAGTCAAGAGAACCCCACACAGTCCGGCTAGTTCTGGTAGTGTGGATCCCTTTATTTTCCATTTCTTCCCATCCATTCTTCATTGGAACAACCAAGCTGCAAGACAGATAAGTATCGCCCACCATCACTCGTACTGGCTAATGCGAAAGTACTTATTTCTTACTGTAAATCTTAGGAACTTGATTGAATGTGTGAGTGCATCAGTATTGTTTGTATGAGATATATATTTTAAGTAAAATACATCTATTTTAACCACAACAGCCTCAAATCCTTTACTGGTGACCCTTGGTGGGAACAGGACCTTGGTATAAACTGGCAAGAACCCATTTATAAATTGCCAATTGCTGTAAATAAAGCAATTCGGCTAACAGAACACCTTACAATAATTCATAACATTTTTCCAATGATAACCCACAAATCCAAGTTTACATTGCATGGTGACCCAACCAGGGCTGGCCCAAGATTTTTCGTGCTATGGTGTTAAAACCCATCTAGCCCAGCATTTTATTTTTTTTTATTTAGAGTGGCTAACCAGATGTTTTGGAGAAACCAACGAACTTTCTACAGAGAATGCAGCTGTGCCCAAACACATGACATTCTGAAGTTTACTGCCTTTGCATATGGAGGTTACATTCCAGCCTTTCATCACTCTCTTCTTCTCCATTACTCCCTCTAAGCCCCCCATAAGATTCTTAGAAATTTGCATCAAGGGACATTTTATTTGAATTTTTATCACTTGACAACTAATATCAACTAATTGATGACATTGAAGATACTGTTTCCAGGGTCAAGGCTTGCTTTCCAAAATACAAATGCCTTGCCTCAAATTAAGCACTTAAGTTGTTTCTTCTAGGAGCTACTTCATACATGATCTTCCTACAGGGACAGTCTACATTAAAAAATGTTTTTACTGAGTGCAGTTGGTTATATTCAACAGCATGCATTCTTTACAAAAAAGGAGAATGACAAGGCCATAAAACAGTAGAGATCCATGATGTAGCTGCTGCCATATTTTGTGCTCATTCTATACAACCTAGCTCTGGACGTATTGATAAAAATGAAACAACAATTGAATTTTGTCCAATCAATGTTTGAATTTTCTTTCTTTAATTTGATTACCATTTCACTGTCTTAAGCTTTCCTTTGACTAGATGGAGCAGCCATGCTGAAGATCATGGAAAACACATTAATAAAAACATGTGGATGGGGGCTTTACTAAGATTGGGAAGAAATCACCTCAGCAGTCTTTGGGCCTGTGAAGGAAGGGACTTGCAAGCCCTGTTCCCTCAGATGGAAAACCTGTGGCCATTTCAAGTCTTTGCTCAGTGGCACTGTCACTTTCCCTCCCTCCTAGGAGACACCCGAATCCAAACGGTATTGGTTGCTGCCACCAGCAAATCAGAGAGTATCTCCCTCAGGATATATTTGTACATCAAGCACTCTATTCCTAGGTTGCTTTGAGAGGCTCTGTCTAGTTGCCATGTCTCCTACTTCACTCCTACAAGCTACAATGGGGATGGTGTATCACACTTTTGAGCTGTTGTGCTCAAGGGATGGTGAACTTACCCATTGCTCTTCCCTGTTAGCAGTCTTGACAGCAGGACCAAATGGATATGGGATGCTGACAGAGTTCAGGCTTCAAGCATTCAATCAAGATACAAGAAAGTTTAATTTTTAAGAAGTACACATGGGGTGATCAAGCACCAAGTTGGGCACGCATGCAAAGAAGAGTTAAAAACATGATCGTTCAATCTGTACTTGGTACTTATCTATACAATTTTAATTAGGACAAGGTAGTATTTCTTGAAGTTTCAGTAGATAAAAGTCTACCATTACCTTAGTTCTCAGAACATGGACTTCTCCCCATTGTTCCGCATCATATATAAAATATGAAGTCCCTAGATAAAGATTTACTCCATGGCTTATGCACATCCATAAAGAAGATCAAGATGCAAGAGAGTGTCTTTCCCGTATCCTGGGAATTTATAATCTCTCCTTGGGAGCCCACAGAATGCTGCGTCATTATGGAATAATCTAAGCAATGTATGTTGGCACAATGGATAAAAGCATGTCCTTTGCAAAATTTTCTCCAATGCCACTAAATCTCACTTGGGGTTTGGCTCAAGCTGCACAATCTGATTTGGTTAGCCATTATTATCATGGAAACGGATGGAGACTGCAAAGCAGACAGAGAGAGGTGGAAGGCTGGGTGGCCCCAGCCAAGACTGACTACAGCAGTAACCACTATTTTGTTTCAGCTGCTCTGTAGCTGTAACTGTACCTAGAAGGGGGGCAAACAAATAAAGAACTGGAGTTCTGTATTCAGTTATCAAAATAAATCATACTTATTACAAATCCTTATCTACAAGCAATGTGGTAAAAAGCAATATTCAAATGTTTTAATACAGTCATTTAAAAAATAAATGAAAGAAAATATGGTGTTTTTTAGGATAGCAAAACTAGAGATTCATTGTAGGTGATGCACCATGTAAAGAGAGCATAGGTGCTAAATTGGGTTAACATTATCTACCGATCATAGGCTGAAAAGCACCATAAGCAAAGTCTCAGTGTGACTGAGGCAGATAAGCACCATAAGCAAAGTCTCATTGTGACTGTGAGGCAAAGTCTGGTTGTCTCTTCAATACTGCATCTTTTGAGAGGTGCTCTTTGAGGTCACCACCGTGTTACATTCACACCTGTTCTCTTCCTCAGAGCCACTTGGATGTCTTTGTTTCTCAAGGTATAAATAATGGGATTCATGAGTGGTGGCAAAACTGCATAAAAACGGCAGCTAACAAGTCCATAGATGGAGATGACATCTCTTTTGGCCTCATGTAAGAAAACATGACAGTAAAAACAAACAGAGAAAACATTGTCAGGTGAGGGATGCAGGTGGAAAAAGCTTTATACTTCCCTTGGCCTGACTGGATTTTGAACACAGCAGAGAAGATGTAGCTGTAAGAAACCAAAATGAACACAGAACAAACTGACCCTATAGTAAGAACACAGACAAAATTGAACATCTCATTGAACTTGGTATCTGTGCAAGATATCCTAAACAACTGACGGATATCACAGAAATATTGTTCAACAAGATTGGATGAGCAGAACTGTAGCCTAAAGGTGTTTAATGTTGTTATTGTCCCATTAATTAAACTGAAGACCAACGCAGCAGCTGCCATTTCAAAACAGGCATTCCAGTTCATGATCAGCGTGTACTGGAGAGGATGGCAGATTGCTACATAGCGGTCATAAGCCATGACAGCAAGCAGGGAAATTTCTGCAGTAGCACATGCAACAACCAGGTAAACTTGGCTGACACATCCTGCAAAAGAAATCCGATTGTCATTTATCAATGAAATGACCATGGATTTGGGAACGGTGGCAGAGATGAAGCAGGCATCTACTGATGACAAAACAGCCAGGAAAAAGTACATGGGAGTGTGAAGGTGAGGAATCAGGGCCACGGACACAATGATGAGAAAATTTCCCATCAGAGTTGCCAAGTAGAGAGAGAGAAACACCATGAAATGTAAAATCTGTAGCTTTCGCATATCAGAGAATCTTAGAAGGAGGAATTCGGTCACAACTGTTTGGTTTACCATTTGTATGGTTGGAGAAATTCTGTGGAGAGAAAGGAATTAAGAATGTTTACAAATTTCTCTCTCCCTCCCTCCCTCCGTCCCTTTCTTGTTTCCATGGCAAATCTATTGAGAGCAGCCTTATAGCTTCATTATCACATGTCTTTTCCTAGTGTCCAAAATATGCTTCAGCCCAGGGGAAATTTCTTGTAAAGTGACTTTTAAAATATTTCAACACTTCAGATGTTCATAAATTAATAATTTTTTTAAAGTAAACTTGCACAATTCAAGTAGCTAAATTCAGCTTTGTGGTTATTTCCAGTTCCTAAATGCTCCTTGGTGTGTAGCCTATGGCTATTAAGTCTGAATAAAGTGTATTTGTCAAAGGTATATGCAAGGTGAGAAGGGAAGAAGTCCAGTTGCAGATATCCAACGAACATGTGCTTGTAAGCCTTCTGGCCTGTTCCAGCTTCCTCAGCATGGATTCGCGTATGTAAGGATATAATATGACATCCTTTTTTCATAGGTCGAGATACACCAGATCTAGCCTTGAACAGCTAGCATGTTGTTCCCAGTATTTGGTACTTAAAGGGAATGTGGGTCAGGGACGTTAGGAGAGAGATGGGGAGCTGATGGACTTTTCCCCAGCCATCACTATCCCCTTTCCAGCATGGCTCCCAGTCACTTTTCCTCCAACCAAGAGATCAAAAAGGAAGGACTGCCCTCCCACTCATCAGGTTCTTTCCTGAAAATGTGATAGACAGATCCTGATGTGCTAGACAGAAAAGATGGTGGGGAACTGGGAGATGATGGGACATATTTGTATAGAGGAGATCGCCTCGTCTCTTCTCTTTTTAGAGTTTCAAGAGTCTGTTCTCCAAAGCTGTACATTTGTAGTAATAGAGACCCAGAGGGGAAAATTAAAGCAGCTCCTGAACAAGATGCCTACACCCACAAGGGAGATTGTGATGCCTTGGACCCTCCAAGGATACTTTCCATTTTTTCTCAGAACACTGTAAGCTGGTGCTGAGACCCGGCCAAGCAATGGGCTACAACAAACAGATCTCAGCCAGTGTTCCCTCTAAGCTGAGCTAGTGTGAGTTAGCTCACAGTTTTTTAGCCTCTGGCTCACACATTTTTGTCTTAGCTCAGGGATGGCTCCAGAGGAAACTAATTAATGCAGTAGCCAAATCGCTTGCTCACAACTTTAATGCCAGTAGCTCACAAAGTGGAATTTTTGCTCACAAGACTCCACAGCTTAGAGGGAGTGCTGGTCTCAGCAGATGTGAAGATAATCTCTCCCTCACCACCACCCCACTCTTCAAATGTGCCAGTGTTTCTGAGTTCCTTCTTTCAGGACATTCTTGGGGAAGGGACTCTCAGGGCAACTTATATTGATAATGCCAGGCACCTTGGCAATCGGCTTGCTATTTGGGGGCAGAAGATCTACTGTCTCCAGCTCCAGTTGCCCACTGATACTCTAACGGATGGCAGAAAGGGGAAAATGGAAAATAACTGGTGAGAGATGGTGTTATGTCACTTCCAGGGAAAACATGAAAATGACACCATGCCTCTTTAAGAATTGTTAGATATTCTATGGTAAAACCATAAAGGGCTCAACAATATACAAGGATACTGTCCTTCAATACCAATTAAAATAGCCACCAAATACATATTGTACACATCATTCCACCAATGGCTAAATGTCAAACTCGGACCTGGGAGACCTGAATTCAAATCCCTGTGTTATGTCCTGGACCCGATATCTACTGACCTCAGGATCTCAGCTGAGAATTCACATCTTAGGGACTGGATATACGAGGCTGATGCAGTGATCAATCATTCTCTGATTCTGAAATCTAAAGTGGCTCCCTGGTATAAATATTGCAAATTTGACCACCGTAGGTTGAGTTACCTAGTTAATAGCTCCAAATGTAACCTCAGACTGTCCTTTACAGTTTTGCGATTCCAAACTATGAAAACAGCCCTTTTGGCCGCCCATTATTCACATACTCCAAAAGAGCAATGCCTCTGCATTTGTGGTCTGCCAGAGGTGGAGAACCATCCCCACTACATGCTCCATTGTCTGCTTTATAGCACTCCAAGAGAGAAATTTTTAGCAGGATTTCTATCGGTTATGCAAACATACCAAAAAACCGAGAAGATTGCGTTCCTGCTGTCAGATAATGATGTTTATCTATCCCTTAGAGTTTCCCTGTTTGCTTTAGCAGCATCTAAGATTAGATCTAAGGGGCAGGCTACTTGATGGTGATTAAAACTGTTTTATTCTTCTTTTATTATATTTATTTATATTTATGGACTAGTTGTTAATCTTAACCTGGACTAGTTGGACTAGTTGGACTAATTATGGACTAGTTGTTAATCTTAACCTGATCAATAAGATTGTATTTTAACGTTTTAGCATTTTATGAATGTTCTGCTGTATTCTGTATTTCGTAACGGCCAATGGCTAAGTAAAATAAATTACTTGACTAATACTAACCCAGCTTGGGAACACAGAACAATAGACTGCTAGGATCCTGGTAGGAACCTATCGAGCCAGAACACCTCTGTAAATATCCTATCACGGGTAGTGGGTGTCTGTGGGATGTGGTGTTGGGCACAGATTTAAGTAGGGCTTCAGTCCTACTTAAGTTGTCGTTAGTTTGAGCTGATTCACAATAAAGCATGAACTGATCACTAATCACATGTCAAACCCAGTACATTTTACCCTGTTTTCAATGGAATATACCAGCTGACCTTATAACAATCATTCACTTTAAGCCTAACCTAACAGAGTTCTTGGGAAGACCAAATGGAGGAGGGAAGAACTGTGTAATCTGTTCTGAGCTCCTTGAAGGAAGTTTTGGATAAAAATAATCCAAACAAATGAATGAATCAAAGTTTTGTTGTAAGGACTATCATGACATTTCTCCAATCACAATTGCTACTCATATGTGGAGTTTCTGCATTATGTGAATATCTGTGCAGAGAACACTAACTGAGATACCATTTAAAAAAACAACAACAACTCTAGACTAAGAACATCAGTGACCAGTTCACTCCATTTTTCAGTTCATGTTTTATCATCCTATGATGACCTAGCCCACTTCCCTGCCTCAGATGCAGGATTTCCCCTCTGTTTTTCTTTCACTTTCTGACTGAGCAGCTCTTGTTATCTATTTCCTTCCTTTCTGAAGATCTTTGGCTGTCCCACCCTGTCACAGTATGATATTTTGATGCTGGCTCAGCCCAGAAACCTGAGGGAAGAGACAAGATGACCCTTTTAACTTAAACTTGGAAAATGGCACTCAAGAGGCACTGTCACTTTCCCTCCCTCCTAGGAGATACCCAAATCCATACTGGGTATTGGTTGCTGCCACCAGCAAATCAGAGAGTATCTCCCTCAGGATATATTTGTACATCAAGCACTCTATTCCTAGGTTGCTTTGAGAGGCTCTGTCTAGTTGCCATGTCTCCTACTTCACTCCTACAAGCTACAATGGGGATGGTGTATCACACTTTTGAGCTGTTGTGCTCAAGGGATGGTGAACTTACCCATTGCTCTTCCCTGTTAGCAGTCTTGACAGCAGGACCAAATGGATATGGGATGCTGACAGAGTTCAGGCTTCGGACATTCAAACTACAAGAAAGTTTAATTTTTAAAAAGTATACATGGGGTGATCAAGCATCAAGTTGGGCAAGTATGCAAAGAAGAGTTGAAAACATGACCTTTCAATCTGTCCTTGGTACTTATCCTATACAATTTTAATTAGGACAAGGTAGTATTTCTTGAAGTTTCAGTAGATAAAAGTCTATCATTACCTTAGTTCTCAGAGCATGGACTTCTCCCCATTGTTCCGCATCAAATGTGCAAAATGAAGTCCATAGATAAAGATTTACTCCATGGCTTATGCCCATCCACAAAGAAGAGCAAGATACAAGAGAGCTTCTTTCCCGTATCCTGGGAATTTATAATCTCTCCTTGGGAGCCCACCCCTCCCCTTGTGGTCATTCCAATTTTCTTGCCTCAAGAGGAAGAGAAAACTAACCATTTGGCTGTCTGTGACTTTGTCCCGGAGATGTGACATTCTAGCGAGGTGTGAGATATCAAACCCTTTGTTTTTCTCAGTCTTCTATTTACATAACTACAAACATGCATGCTCTCTGCTTAGGGAAGGGATACATTATTCCTGGCACTTGTCCTCTCTGTCAGCTACAGATTTGCAGAGGGGCACCAGAATATAGTGTGACCAATGTTTGAATTATTGGGGTAAATTCAAGGGTGGCCAATTTTTGTTGGGTCAAAGGTCAGCTATTCTATCCTCCTGCCTTAGATACTTCGCAAAGTTAATTTCACAGAGGAAAGCAATCTTTTTCTTTCACTGATACTTTTTTCCCCATTCCAAGAAATAAACCCTTCCAAAGCAAAATACTACCTCAAGAATTCCACGGAATATGAAAAGAAAGAAGAGATGGAGGAGGAGGCTGGGGGCAGGTACGACTCTATCACTAGGCCAGCTAGTGTCTGGCCTAGGGCGTAAGCCTATCCAGGGTGCCAACTGCCCTGCCGCCGCCCGCCCCACAAAAGCCCCCACCATCCTGCCCAAAGCCACTGCTGCCTGCCTGCTAGTCTAGCTGAACTCGCTGGCGGTGCACATGCTGCTCAATGGTGCGCCCGTCCTGCCCACCCCACATTACTCATGCACAGCGCACCCATTGGTCTGCTGGCTGCTGCACCTGCGCCCATCGCTTATTCGCCCCTGCCGCCCTCTGAGCCAGCCAGCATGATTTCCACCACACTCGCCGCCAGCAGCAGCCCCAGCCAGCCCAGCTCGCTGTGGCGTCTGGTGAGCAAAAATCCTACTTTGTGAGCTGCTGGCATTAAGGGAGCGAGGGTCTCTGCGGGGAGGGGGGGGTCTGCACCACTGTTTGCTGGTCTGATCCAGCAGGGCTCTTCTAATCTTAAAATTGTCTAAGGAGAGTAAAAGAGTCCAAGGCAGTAACTTCACACTTTCTTAACC